AGTGAAAATTTCTCACTGCGACCACTTGGCAACGCTACGTTGAGTTGCAACATTTCGCAAACGCTCAAGCTCAAAACATCTCAAAACATCTCAAAACTAGCAGTTCTTCCCACTGATCTTGAGCCAGACTGCACCATGCGGATGTTGGTGACCACCATCAACCTGCTATATCCTACCCTGTGCTTTTGGCTGCACATCGCTGGTAGCGCGTTCAGCATCCTTTCAATTCAGCCATTGTTTGTTCATCTTAAACTCCATTTGTAGAAACTTTGATGCTCTACGGTCGGTAGAATGGTCTGCATCAGCCGCTTGCAAATATCGTCTCCTAGCAGGGCAAGAAGAATTGCTACAATAGCTTTGGAGAATATCTGACACAGCAGCAGAGGTGTTTCCTACACAGCGCATGCTTTGCGCTTTGCTTTTAAAGTGGAGAGTTCAACAACTAGAAAAATGGGGATTTCACTCAAAGGATTTGTTGATTTGTCAGGCAACAAATGGTTTCAATCAACAAATTGGGGGGAGTCCGACAAATATTCCGGTGATGAACCAGCCGAATTGGGACTTTTTAACCTCAAGTAACACAAATTCAGATGTTTCAACCAACCAATTACTCTTGCGGTCTTGAGCCAACAACATGAAAGTTGTCAAAAACTTAAAACCATGTTGTGTGTCTTTGTTCAAGAAAGATGTGGTTTCGACCAGCAACATACCCAGCAGCGCATCAGGAGCTAAAGCGTCAAAGTTAGGGATTTCAAGCAGCGCATAATTTGTGATAATTTGTGTGCTTCAGCAACACAGACATGGGCAGCTTAATCAACGCCAATGGGAGCATAAACCAATAGCACCCAATCACTATCAACGACTGGAGGTTTGCCTAAGGGTTGATTGAGATCATAGCACATTATGCCCATCATCTTGGGATATTCTAGGATGATCGGGGCCAGAAATAGTGCGGACATCAGGATACGGCCGACAGAAATGGAGATGACTGGTTGGTCTGTCCTTGGACGTGGTGGTCCCTGGCCTTTTCAAACAGCAAAATGTCTTGGCAATTCTGGAGAGACCTTAGTACAAATATGCAACCTGAGCTGCAATTGAAGAGCCGTCACTACAAAATGGGTTGCCCTGCCAAGATCCCCAAGTCACAACGGATCCGTCTGCAAGGATAGCAACAAATGATGTTCTTGTTCCTTCAACCTGTTGGATACCCTTGAGCTGATCTTTGACTCCAGAGCTGTCACCACCAAAATAACGATCGCCCCAAGTCACAACCGATCCATCTGCAAGGATCGCAGCAAATGCGCTATCAGTTGCGTGAACCTGCTGGACACCCTTGAGCTGATCTTTGACTCCAGAGCTGTCACCACCAGAACCCGCACCAGAATTTCGACCTCCCCAAGTCACAACCGATCCATCTGCAAGGATCGCAGCAAATGCGCCATGAGTTGCATGAACCTGCTGGACACCAATGAGCTGATCTTTGACTCCAGAGCTGTCACCACCAGAATTTGGACTGCCCCAAGCCACAACGCGGTTGCCTCCACAGCACCACAATGCGATAGCTGCATGTGTTGCTGCTACCTTTACCTGTATGGCAACGGCTGTCAGATGGTCCCCCTCTTGAAGTCCTGCAGCTTGCAGAGACTCCGCAGGATCCAACATATCATTGTTTGCAGTCACAAGCCTCAAGAAGCCAAGCTGAAATGATTTCTGGGCCAGAACCCTCAAGTCCCCTACTTTGGAGGACTGCAGAAGGGACAATTTCTCACTGCGACCACTTGGCAACGATACGTTGAGTTGCAACATTTCGCTAACGCTCAAAACATCTCAAAACTAGCAGTTCTTCCCACTGATCTTGAGCCAGACTGCACCATGCGGATGTTGGTGGCCACCATCAACCTGCTATATCCTACCCTGTGCTTTTGGCCATCGCTGGTAGCGCGTTCAGCATCCTTTCAATTCAGCCATTGTTTGTTCATCTTAAACTCCATGTGTAGAAACTTTGATGCTCTACGGTCGGTAGAATGGTCTGCATCAGCCGCTTGCAAATATCGTCTCCTGGCAGGGCAAGAAGAATTGCTATAGCTTTGGAGAATATCTGACACAGCAGCAGAGGTGTTTCCTACACAGCGCATGCTTTGCGCTTTGCTTTTAAAGTGGAGAGTTCAACAACTAGAAAAATTGGGATTTCAATCATAGGATTTGTTGATTTGTCAGGCAACAAATGGTTTCAATCAACAAATTGGGGGGAGTCCGACAGATATTCCGGTGTTGAACCAGCCGAATTGGGACTTTTTAACCTCAAGTAACGCAAATTCAGATGTTTCAACCAACCAATTACTCTTGCGGTCTTGAGCCAACAACATGAAAGTTGTCAAAAACTTAAAACCATGTTGTGTGTCTTTGTTCAAGAAAGATGTGGTTTCGACCAGCAACATACCCAGCAGCGCATCAGGAGCTAAAGCGTCAAAGTTAGGGATTTCAAGCAGCGCATAATTTGTGATAATTTGTGTGCTTCAGCAACACACATGGGCAGCTTAATCAACGCGAATGGGAGCATAAACCAATAGCACCCAATCACTATCAACGACTGGAGGTTTGCCTAAGGGTTGATTGAGATCATAGCACATTATGCCCATCATCTTGGGATATTCTAGGATGATTGGGGCCAGAAATAGTGCGGACATCAGGATACGGCCGACAGAAATGGAGATGACTGGTTGGTGTGTCCTTGGACGTGGTGGTCCCTGGCCTTTTCAAACAGCAAAATGTCTTGGCAATTCTGGAGAGACCTTAGTACAAATATGCAACCTGAGCTGCAATTGAAGAGACGTCACTACAAAATGAATTGCCCTGCCAAGATCCCCAAGTCACAACGGATCCGTCTGCAAGGATAGCAACAAATGCTGTTTTTGTTACTTCAACCTGTTGGACACCCTTGAGCTGATCTTTGACTCCAGAGCTGTCACCACCAAAATCTCGACCGCCCCAAGTCACAACCGATCCATCTGCAAGGATCGCAGCAAATGCACGATAATTTGAGTGAACCCGCTGGACACCCTTGAGCTGTTCTTTAACCCCAGAGCTGTCAGCACCATAATTTCGACCGCCCCAAGTCACAACGGATCCATCTGCAAGGATTGCAGCAAATGCATGACAAGTTGCGTGAACCTGCTGGACACCCTTGAGCTGATCTTTGACTCCAGAGCTGTCACCACCAGAATCTGGATCACCCCAAGCCACAACCGATCCATCTGCAAGGATCGCAGCAAATGCACGATAACTTGAGTGAACCCGCTGGACACCCTTGAGCTGTCCTTTAACCCCAGAGCTGTCAGCACCATAATTTCGACCGCCCCAAGTCACAACGGATCCATCTGCAAGGATTGCAGCAAATGCATGACAAGTTGCGTGAACCTGCTGGACACCAATGAGCTGATCTTTGACTCCAGAGCTGTCACCACCAGAACGTCGATCGCCCCAAGTCACAACCGATCCATCTGCAAGGATCGCAGCAAATGCACGAGCAGTTGCGTGAACCTGCTGGACACCCTTGAGCTGATCTTTGACTCCAGAGCTGTTACCACCATAATTTCGATCGCCCCAAGTCACAACCGATCCATCTGCAAGGATCGCAGCAAATGCACGAGCAGTTGCGTGAACCTGCTGGACACCCTTGAGCTGATCTTTAACCCCAAAGCTGTCACCACCATAATTTCGACTGCCCCAAGTTACAACCGATCCATCTGCAAGGATCGCAGAAAATGCGCCATTAGTTGCATGAACCTGCTGGACACCCTTGAGCTGATCTTTGACTCCAGAGCTGTCACCACCAGAATCTCGATCGCCCCAAGTCACAACCGATCCATCTGCAAGGATCGCAGCAAATGCACGATAATTTGAGTGAACCTGCTGGACACCCTTGAGCTGATCTTTAACCCCAGAGCTGTCACCACCAGAATTTGGACTGCCCCAAGCCACAACGCAGTTGCCTCCACAGCACCACAATGCGATAGCTTCAGAGGATGCTGCTACCTTTACTGGTATGGCAACGGCTGTCAGATGGTCCCCCTCTTGAAGTCCTGCAGCTTGCAGAGACTCCGCAGGATCCAACATATCATTGTTTGCAGTCACAAGCCTCAAGAAGCCACACTGAAATGACTTCTGTGCCAGAAGTTTCAAGTCCCCTACTTTGGAGGACTGCAGAAGGGGAAATTTCTCACTGCGACCACTTGGCAACGCTACGTTGAGTTGCAACATTTCGCTAACGCTCAAAGCATCTCAAAACTAGCAGTTCTTCCTATTGAGCCAGACTGCACTCTAGGGATATGGGTAACCAACATCGACATACTCTATCCACCAAAGGCTTGCAAATATCAGCGCCACTCGCATGGCAGGAGCAAGTATATTGTACAACACTATAGCTTTCCAGAATGTCATACATATGGGGCATGGACACATGAACAGCTCATGCTTTGCTCTTGGCTTATGCTTTGCTCATTCCTTCCAAGCCTTTACGAAACAAGGGAACCAACCAGCTACAAACCTGGCTGCTTGGAACATCTGACGAGACATTCTCCATCAAGTTACGGATGTCAACCAGCACCATGGCTGGTTTAAGCATGTTTGCTGCACACCCCGGGGAAGTTTAATCAACATGGGAACATTTTGGAACATTTTGGAACCGGAGGTTTGCCGAACATATATTTCTGGCTAATGGCAGCTGTGGGAACGATGACTGGTTAGCAACCATGCGTGTAACCCAACTGGTTGGTGGTGCAATGTGCCCATCTTGAAAAATATGAGTTCGTCAATGGGAAGGATTATCCCATATATTATGGAAAATAAAAAATCTTCCAAACCACCAACCAGTATATATACCCTCTGGTAAACTAACATAACTATGGAACATCACAATTTTTCATGGGTAAATCCTCTATTTCTATGGCCATGTTCAATAGCTGTTTCGCCGTCAGTGACCTGCCGACTGGGTCGATCACGGTTGGACCATCAACGCCAGGAACAAGTTCCCATTCTTGTCATGGAAAGGCACCTCAGCGATGCAAATCTGAAGCAGTCGGGGCTACATGGGGTACCCCCAGATCCAACGGAGTCAACGGAGTAGGAGGATCATCATTTTGCCTCATCAATAGCCACGAACTGAATGAGTGGTAAAAGAAAACACTATATTTCGACAGACCCAATCATTCACATCAACTTGGTGAATATCCCATTCTATTCCCATAGGTTGGGTTTATATCCCCCCTTTTTTCATCAAAATTTGGGCATTTCACCAAGTCTTACCATGGCCATCACCAGATGCTGAGGCTTCCCGACCATAATCAGATCTCGCGTAAAGATCCCTTCGGCCATGTCTCTCCTGCAGACTCGGCTGAATCCAGATGACAGGTTTTATTATTATCAGTATAATTGTATTGATGACTATTATCATTGTTATACTCCCATCATGATTATGATTATCATGATGATTTTTATTGGGAATAATGGTATCATAACATAACATATCTATTAACAGCTAAAAATATGATAACTAGGACATATACTTTTGAGAACCATTGAAACTTGCTTGGCTTATGCGTTAAAAATCCCCTTGTTGAGCCCATTATCGGGGATACGTTTAACACGTTTAACCATCAAATAGTTAGGTGTTAAATGAGAATACGTTTTTGATGTGGGATCATCAGAATAATCATAACTACAGTACAAATTACACATAATTTACAAAGCCCAACTCTACCAGGAACGCTGTAGCGAAAATAAGGGAACCCATCTTCACCAACATCTTCCCACCTGATCTCCGAGGACATCTTCAGCGCCTTAGCCAAGAACGGAAGTTTATGAAAATGGCGAGGGAAAAACTTGACTGTTTCTGAAGTTTTACCGCAAATAGTTGATCATGTTTTAACTCCATAATGGCAAATGTGTTTTTTTTGAACTGCAAAAATTTGGCAAAGATGATAATGTAACATTGATGATAACATGTTATACTATATACTAATATCATTCTAGCATATCTTATATCTACATGTGCAAATATATATATGAGTACACATAGATTGCATCCCAATATTATCGTAGTATGTGTGCATCCCCTTATATTTTGGTATATATACAGGATGTATATTATTATATATATATACATATACATATACACATTATGACATGGATGATAGATTGGCAAATCCACCTATTCCATGGTCTTTATCCATGGTGATGTGACGACATCACCCTTGCCACCACTTGTCGCACCTGGGGCCAGTCTTCTCGCAGCAAGTGGCGGTAGAAAAGACTCTCGTAGGCCACAACACGATCTGCACGCTGCGGGGCTCTCGTAGCATCACAACACGACAGGAATGATTGGGTGATTGGGTTTCTAACCCGTTTTGACGTAGCTTCTCAGAATTGAACTTCCTAGGACCTCCATTGATACACTTCTTTGCACCTTCAGGGGTATTTGTCGGAGGCTCTAGATTTATAGAAGCTATGGAAATGGTAATGTCAACCATCAAAGCAGGGAAACTATTCAGAATATCTCAGAGCATTGGTTGCTTGGAAACTACTCAGGCAATCTCAGAGTACTGGCTTCTTAAAGCCTCCTTCATCCAGCTCGCGACAAAGACTCGCACTCAAGGAATAGAAGCAAGGTTCCTCCATTCCTTGTTTGCATAGAACGTTGCATCTGACTCTCCATATAAAAGTAATTCCCGGTCTATGTGCAAACGAAATTCCCGTCTAGGATAGTCCAAAATAATTCGATGGGTTCATATCATCTATTTATATCACTATTTGAGGGTCAAAATAACTCATGTAATACATGTTTACAGACGTTTCAGTTGAATTTCAGCAAACCTTCATCATCACCACCATGTCTATCATTATATTGTGATTAGTATTATATCATTACTATATATTACTATTATTACTACTATCCCCACTTCAGTATTTCTATCATAAGTTCTATCGTCAGCATTGTGCTATTTTTATCTTATCATGCTACTATGTAAATATATCTATGATACTTTCTACGTCTATCATCATGTCTCTCTTCTTACTGGTACATTTCTACTATTACTATGTCTATCATAATGTTATTACCCACAGACGCCGTGTGCTGCCCAGACATTAACATTGAGAATGTCGTGCTGTCGAATATAATAGGAAATTGCAGAAAATACTGCGTATACGCAGTGTTTGGATTCAAAGTTTCAGAGCCTAGGTTTTAGGGTTTAGGGTTTTAGGGTTTGGGGTTTTAGGGTTTTACGGTTGAGGATGGTTTAGGGTTTTTTAGGGTTTAGGGTTAAACATGTTTAGCGAACATGCTTAAACGCCATTTGAGCCTTCCGGGCACACAGCGCCTGGCCATATTATTATGATGGTAGAAAATTCTATGCTATCGTCACCATTAATGAAATAAATTAATTATATTATCAAAATAATATTATCATCATTTTTCCAAACATGCTAGACGTGGGCTCTGAATCCGAATTCGAAACACAGCAGGAGCCATGCCTTTTCCTGTGATGTTACCACTTGATTCTTGGAAAAAGGTGATTCAGTAAACAGGAAATTAATAATTCGACCATTGGTAATTCCACTACTGGAAATTATTAATTCCTCTTATATATATAGTCTTATAGCAATTACTCCATAAAAGCAGAAAGTAACATAATTGCCTCATAGTTGGAATCTCCACTAGTGATGTAATTACTCCACTTATATAATCTTTATATATAATCTCATAGTTGGAACATGGTCGAAATATGTCGTTAAATGACCATCACCTCACTTCACTGAATCCCCAGCGACCTGCAGAGTTGCTACTCATCGCCAGGCGTGGCAAATAGAAGTCCTTTCCGAGAAAAAACACGGAGATTCCATGGAGATTTTTGAGATTTCATGGGGATTGTGTACATGTTTTTTAACCACTAAACCATGGGGGTTAAAACACTCAAAGTTGGGATTTAGTCATTAAACATGAGGAATCATGAGGATATCATGGGGATTTCTAGATGGCAAAAAGAGCTTATTTTTGCGGGTTTCCGTCGCAACAGATGTTTCCGTCCGGTTGTGATTACATTACATCAAGATTCCCCATTACTGTTGATCAATGAGTATAAATCTCTTGTTTGAAGGAAGAGAATGGGTTCAAGATTTAATTAGCACCAAATCTTGTTTCAATCTTTCATCATCCTTGTTTGAATCCTCATTTTTCTAGATGGTCGAAAATTTATACCGTGAATATCAATACAAATCTCTGTAAATCACTTTAGACACCAGAGTTCGTGAACGATCCTAAACAGAAGATGGGAGCTAGACGGAGCGTTCGTAACTTTTTTTTGCCAGGCAAGATGCGAAAGTGAACCTGGAGGAAGGGGGGCAAGGCGGAATGCGTGAATAGGAGTGTTGTAACTTAGTAGGACTCGCGGACTCGAGTGAGTGATTCGTTCGGAGTAACTTGGGCGGAATCAGTGTGGAGTGAGTTGGGCAGCGAAGTTGCTTGAATCAAGGTATAGGTGGATAGGGAGAGGTGGGGTTGGCGTTGAAAATCGCACCGCAATGGCAATTTGTAGGCTTCATCCCATGCTAAAGAAACTCCAGCCCTGGTTACTGCTAGCTTTCGTGACTACAAAAAACAACGCAGCACACCATTTTAGTATCCGATGGTAATCCTATAATTATAATGAGAATATGATCGATCATTATCCTCAATATCAATTGTGACCATTAATTGTATATGTGTTTTATCATTGTAACTATAATGAATTATTATCCGTATATAATGATAATAGTGTAACGATATTATATATATATTATCTCTATAGCTTGAATAGTTAGGACGATCATATCATTATCATCAAAAAAAATTGGGATACCAATTTGGATGGTTAATGATATCATTTACCCTCTGGTAATTTGTTGCATAGCTATGGAAAATCACCATTTTTAATGGGAAAATCCACTATAAATGGTCATTTTCAATAGCTATGCAACAAATTACCAGAGAGTAGTCTCTATTATACGTAATATTTCATGGTTATTGGGATGATCCTCGCCCCACGTCACAAAATCCCCGTCCAAAATCTTCAGGTTCTCTTCAGGTGAACCGCTGTCCACAGGCAGGCCCCTGGTCAGATGATGTTCCCATGAATTTACAATGACCGGGACCTGGTGTGTAAATATGTTGGTATTATTGAAATCTGATATGTATATATATATATATATGTACTACATATATATATGTATATATACAATATCTATATATATATGTATACAATATATACACAGTGTATACACATATAAGTATATGTGTATGTATGTCTATGTATATGTCCATGTATTGTATATGGATGTTGTACAGTATGTACCAGTACCTATGTCTATTTATTGGATACGTGATGGGATGAACATAAATGGCCTTATTGGATAAACCCATGAAAAACACACATAAACACATTAGATGTGGATGGTTCATCCGATCATATATCAAATATCTCGCATAAACCCAATCATTTTATATCGTTTTCACCTTTTGTTACACTGAAAAAAACCCAACCTGTCGCGTTCTCCCAGGCGTTCTGCACCCGTGAGTCACGCCTCGGGAGATCAATGCCTTGATGCACCTCACGTGACGATCTGGGGATCTTGTCGTCTCATTGGGGATGCGCGGCCCATGAAAAATGCGGCTGGCCAAATGGTAAAGTCACAATGGAGATATCATGGGATATCAATGGGTTCAGCCCCAACCCTGCCATCATGTTTGGGCTTAGGGTCGAATCTTAGCAATCTATCATGATGGTCACCGAAATGGAAAAATGGGTCGGTTGAATCCCCCAAGATCTTGTCAGACAAGAGCCGTTTTCAACATAGAGAATCCTCCTTCAAAGTCATTGTTGCTATTTTCATAGTAGTATGTTGTGTCTATCATATATCTGAAGTATGACTGAATGTATTGTCTCTATCATATATCTGAATTGTCATACACAATCCATCTTCTGTAATGTCTAAATGGAATTTATGGGACGGGAGTATTTGGGATTACAATTCTCAATTTCGATTTGCCCAGACACGAGGTTTGCCACAAATATGGGCAGTTCATATTAGGGGATGACGATCATCAACCATGACATGCTGGGGTTTATCTCATGCCTTGCACAAACCCTGTGGACGTGATTTATGGTATCAAACCAGATGTTTGTCTCAACAACTCTTTTCATACAATTTTCACCATCCGTCTCAAAAGAATCAAAGAGAAATGGAAGTTCGGTCTGCCGAATGACCATCCAAAATCAAATTGATTGATTAATAGAAATTCATAAGAAGATTTCCCTGATACTGATCTTATCCAATACCAAATTTTGGACCGCGGAAGCCCTGCCTCGAATACTTCGTCAACGTCTACCCTGACAGGGAGATACACCCCAGCCCTGAAACCAACCCTAAAGATGCTCCGATCTGGGAACAAATCATGTTGAAAACATATGGCTGTCTGAAAATGGTTTGGTACCCTTCAAAATTGCCAATGAATGAGGAAAATAATGATCAACCATCAAATTTTGCGATATTTCCTAAATGTTCAGATGAACCCAAAAAAAGACACAGATCCCACTAAATCCCGTTGAATCCCACTAGATCTCTACTGTTGATGGTTGATCCTCCCTCGCAGCCTTTCCAGACTTTCCAGACTTTCCAGCTTTGCCTTGGCTGAAGGAGGTCAAAGAAACTCAAGTGGATTTTGTCATTATATTATGTATATTATATATATATATACATCAAATTGTATGTATATAGATACATACAATATAAAATGAAATATAATGAGAGGTTTCTTTGTAGCTATTGTTTATTATTATATTACATCCTATCTTATATTCCAAATCCAAACTTAGGTGGTATCCCTATCCCGGAAACTGACACAGGACCCGCTCAGGTTGGGGCCGATGATCTGGCAGGTGTCGGAATTGCAGCCATTGCCCCCTTGCTCCTGGCAGATCTGTGGACTATGGTGGATCCTATTGATCTATTGGATCATACTGTGGGTAAAGCAATAGAATCCACCACAATGACTTACCGTTTTGACGGGATTAAAACCATCAAAAAATATATATATATATATACATATCGTTTCAAATGGGAGTTACCCGATCAAACGTGTCAAACGTGGCAAGCTGGGAACTCCCTGAAGTAATATTTCAGGTTTAGTTCGCTGGGAAAATCATCCAGCTAAATCGATCTAAATGGTGCATTTTCCAGCAAACCATGTTTGAGTACCGGAGTGTATGAATACCAACAATGAGGTGTATTATACCAACCATGACATATATCTGGGTAAATTCCAATAACCTGATTTTTTTGGCTCCAGATAGGGAAAGTTCCCTATACATTCATCATCATTCCAGAGAGGGAGAACAGTGAGGCTTATAAAACAACTGAGATCTTCCCATATCCTGATCATTCGGAGTTTGTCCAGAATTCCAGGGAATACCTCGATTTTTTCCATGACAGTCACTAAGTCACTAGGATCAAGAATGATAAATCATAGGATAAAAGTGGTACCCTCTGGTGAACTAACATAGCAATTGAAAATGGCCATTTATAGTGGATTTTCCTATTAAAAATGGTGATTTTCCATTGCTATGTTAGTTCACCAGAGGGTACACCATTCTTGCACAGATATCATATGAATCAAACCTGAGGTGGATGATCAATGATATACAGTGATACCCTCTGATCAAAACGGGCCTGGAAAATCGACAATTTCTAGTGGTTGTTCCCATGTAAATTTCCCATTGCCACGTTTGATGACCGGTTGCCTTTCAGCTCTAGGACACTAGGATCATGCCACCATATATATATATATATACATACACATATAATGTTATATAATGTTATATACCCATATTCCATACATGTGTTGGCTATATATACCCATATATATATACACACACATATAATCCATTGTACAATCCATTTATGTTGCTTCAACTTCTCCGCCCTTCCTAGCTTTCCGGCACCTGGGATCTGCATCCGCCACCAGCCGCGCACCCAGCTTCTGCCAGCGCTGCCGCAGGGACCGCGACACCGGGGCAATCAGCTGAGGGGGCGAAGCCTGCGGTGTTGTGAAACGGAAAATCTGTCGGAAACCCATGGAAACCCATGGAAAATATGGGAAAATGTACATGGGAAACCCAAGGGAAAATGTGTCGGAAACCCGTGGAAACCCATGGATTTGATCAGGGATTTCACTGATTGGACCAGAGATTTTACGATTCTCCCGAAGTTCGGTTTTAAGTGCTTTTTCCTCCGATTCTGGAAGAAAATCATGTAGAGTCTGGAGTTGCCTTGTCATCCTCAAGTTGGTGTACAGTAATTCTATACATATATATATATATGTACATATGTATATATGTATATATATATATATATACATATGTGTATTGTATGTTTCTAAATATCTATATGTACATATATATATATATATATCATTTGTATATGCACAATATGTATGATATACATACATATAAATATATATATACACATATTATAATGCCTTAATATAACAATTTTAAGGACGCACCATCCAGCCAGCATCTGGTTGGAAAATCTCTGGATCCCGCCTGATGGGTACAGAGATGTTCCAGCAATCGAGGATTGTCCAGCAAGCGACGAGCATACCTGGTCTCCATGGCTTTGGGGCCTCCAAAAGGGACCCAAAATTCTGGCAGTTTGGTGTCTAAAAAACGGGGGACAAAAACCACCAAGTGATGGCAATTTCAATGTATTTGGAGAAGGAAAAACCAATGATAAACCAATAGATTTAGGAGTATCCCACTTCCAGAGAAAGCTGGAAGTGGGAAATATGACATGCAACCATGTTCCAGACATACTAACACGTGAGAATAGGACATATCACCTTTCAGAAAAGCATCATTGGCTACTCTTGGAGGATGTGCAATTCATTCCGATTCCTTCTCATCAAATGGCGGAAAATCAGCAGGCATGGTAGCTGTAGAGTGGGCAGCGGGCAAAGTCAACCCACATGTTACAAGCAGACTTCATCAATCAACATGGACATATCCATTGGATACTTCCTCCCACAGTTCGTTGTCAAAACAATCTTTCGCAACCAACGTCGAGGGTTGAGTTTCACAACTCAAATCTAAGGATTCACCGGTACAAAGTTTCACCTAAACCCAAAAGCAATAGCCCCCAACCCCAACATCATTCAAAACCATATTCAAAACCATAAAAAACCCGCGGTTTCCGGTAGTTGTCTCAGATGTTTGGCCTTCGCGCCCCGCTTGATGCCCAGAAATCTCAGGATCCTACTCCAAGACATAGATGCCACAGTCAGTCATGTTCGTCTGGTCGCAGACCGTCAGAAAACCGTGGGAAGTTGGCCAAATCCACGGCTTTTTCTCTCAATTTTCCAGGGGCTAAAGATGCGAAACGATGCTGTTGAATGTCCAATGATTTTCTGACCACATGACGATTATGTGCGATGTTTGTGAGTGAAATTTGAATCTCGTCTCATTGAATCACCATCATTGATCTCACCACTTGGCTTTGTCTGGAAATAGGGTATCCATGAATTCATTGGTAAATCATAATCTTCCCTATATAAATTGTTACTTAAGCGTTATACACAATTTTCAGACACTCCTTATTTTGATCCATCCTTTCAAGTCTTGCAAGTCGAGCAGTGTTCAAAACACGAACGGTCGTCCCTTCGTACTGTTTGTTTAATGGGATTTTTCCAGTTCATGGATTCTGACAATCATAAAAGGATTACAAAAGGTAGGCAAAAAACCAACTAATCATCGACCATTATGTATCAACTAGATTTCCCCCTATGTTTTTTCATGGTTGAACCCCCGTTGACCCCAGAAATTCATGGTGCGTTCCATCCTGCCAGCTGGTGCGCCTGCTGAGGTACTTCCAGTGAGATCCCTTGGATGAGATCTGCACAGTAGTTGGTGTCCGTGCCCGCGAAGCCTTGTGGCATGCCATGTTTCGGTCTTTTTCTAATTAGCCTCTGGTGATTTAATGGGATTTTATCGTGATTTAATGGGATTTTATTGTGATTTAATGGGATTTTATGGTGATTCAATGGGATTTTATGGTGATTTAATGGGATTTTATGGTGATTCAATGGGATTTTATGGTGATTCAATGGGATTTTATGGTGATTCAATGGGATATTAATGGGATATTAATGGGATATACCCTCTGGTTATGACTAACATAGCCATGGAAAATCCCGTATAAATCGAGGTTTTAATGGGAAAATCATCTATAGGTTGCCATGGTATAGATGGCCCTAATCGAAATAGATGGTTTACCTAGCTATAAAATGGGTGGATTTTCCATGGCTATGTTAGTCATAACCAGATGGTAAGGGGTATCGATAACACCATGGTGTAAACATCTAAGTTATTTCGATGAAGTGTTGACGATGGTGTAAGCATGATAATAAGTTCCATAAGTTGGGATATAGCCCCTAGAACTTACAACGATGGGTATAGCTATACCCAATTATGAACCACATGAGTTACATGGAGCACATAGGGTTACATGAGTCGTGTAGGGTTTTGAAGGGAAACTGCGTGGTTTTATCAGTCTATGGGCTATAGAAAAACGTCAAACCAGGATGAGATTATATAAACCTTGGTTGATTAATTACGGGCTACCGCCCAAACAGTGACAATTACTACAAAATGCTACCACCCCAAGGATCAACAGTCTAGGGTTTATTAATCAGGATACGGGGGAATGGTCATCCATCGCATGCCATCGGAATCCTGAGAAAACAGTGGGTATAGTGGGATAGTAAGTAACCACTGTTTGAGTTTAGAAACCATCTTTTGACCATGACACACTTGGGGGGGCATCGCAGTTAGTCAGGGGTAACATGTATACATATTTATATATATAATATAATATAACATGGTGTAACCCAGTCATGTATAGATGATTGTCACTTAGCACATGGGCTATGACTTGCTCTGACAGGTCTTGTTTTCATCACCAAACGCCATGGGCATGGGACAGTGAATGCATGTTAGTGCTAAATAGACGTTCAGTGTAGAAAGATCTTTTTTTCGAAATCAAATAAACAACCCAAAGAGCACTACCGAAAGCCCTCTCTCATCCGTGCGACTTTATGTTGGTTGATATTCGCTCCCATACTGGAGAAAAAAAAACATCACCAATGGACACCAATGGTTTGTACTTCGTACAGCCCAATAAAACCGTCAACCACGCATTGCTGTATCAGGATTTGGGTACCTCATGGGTACCTCATGACGATATGCAACGATAAGGTGAGCTGATAGGCCCTCCAGGGCCCCACGCAGGTCTGCCACTCATGCTTCAAGTACTCCTTGCGCCGCAACGCTATCCCCGGAGCTTCATCTAACTTGATCTCAACGTCATCTGCCGATTAGTCAAATTGCTTGCTGGAAGTAGGTTGTCTTTGCATGTCCTTGCGACCTTACACGATCAATCCGTCTATATATATATTATATACATATCACCCCTTCGTCATCCCATGTCATTTTCAACTTCAAGGGATTGGTTTGAGCGAAAATTAGAGGAAACACAAATATGTCATTGGAAAAGCCTTGGATCCCTTGGCTTGTAGATTTTCCCAACAAACCAAACAACATTGACTGCTGACTGCTGACCCACCCACCCGCCCACCGTGAAAAACCGGTCCTGCAGGAGCTTCAGTGCTTTCTCTTGACGCTGCTTGGCCCCCGCCGCTTGCTGCTGCAACGCCTTCGAAGATGCTCCGTAGCCAGGGATCTTATTGAACACCCCGATGGTTAAAGGATGTTTATGGTCCCAAATATGACCACCCCCCCTGTGAAAATATGCATTCGGGATTCTACCCATTTCACAGATGGAGAAAATCCTCTCTAGATGTGACATGGATACGTCGTGACGTCATTTTCCCTGAATGGATGATTACCCTCTGGTAGTGACTAACATAGCGAACTGGAAAATCACCGATTTTCAATAGCTTTTTCTATGTTTACCAGAGGGTAGTCATCCCTATTTGATGATGTGATGCTGACTTACTTGTATAGAAACAAATTGTCCAAATTTGTCCACTAAAAAAGATCCAACCTCTCAAGAATGGGAATCCCACTTCTATCCATTTATATCCATTTATTAACCAATGAATATCATCCCACTGTTGATGGAAAAACCCAGCTACCCTCCAGCTCAGTAAACTAACATAATATATCATAATATCATAATTATGGGACAATGGCCCAATTTTACTTCGAAAAAAAATCACTTCGCAAACTGTAAAAATCATTACCAGGTTACCAGATGGTATACGTATCCCTTGTATAAAATCATTACCAGGTTACCAGATGGTATACGTATCCCTTATATTCCCCCCCCAAAAAAAAAAACGATGAAATCCCAGCATTTTGCATGGTGAATGCCACATCACCGTCACCTGCAGATCGTAAGGCTCCTTGGCGCTGTGAAGCACTTCAAGCCTGTCACTGTCTCAGTGACATTCAGTGACCAGGAGCCCCGCCCGGAAGTGGAAAATGACCATCCGAAACGTGGTTGTTTTTCTAGGGCTTTGCTGAATACACTTCCGGGGTTTCTGTGATTTTGTTTGGATTGTTTCACATCTAAGTCTAAGTCGGAGTATTGATAATCACCCCAAGGATGGAAAGTAGGGAATACTTGACAAGCACCAATCAGCAGGACCCGCGGATCATTCAGATCACCACCATTGAAATGGTGTCACCACGACAAATCCACTTTGTGGAGGAACATGTCATGTTGAACCCCAAGATTATCTGATTAACATGCAGGAAAATCATGGAAAATCTCTATCATCACCTTCTAGGATTGCTATATAATATACCATTATACATCATTATACCATTGCAGTAGAACTACTTCCAAGCACCATTGCAGGCTTACAATGGAATACCCCCAAATACCACGGATTACAATCATTCCCCGCACCCAAATGGGCCATTTTTATGTCGGAAAAAAAAATGTCTGGGAAAAACCATCATAGTTTATCCAAGTAGGAACAAATTGGTTATTAAACATGTATACAATGCGATACCCTTACACTATCGTACACTTATACATTCTTATACCATCTTATTCACCAAGAATACGTGGCAACGCATTGGACACCGCACCTGGGATCGAGTGAATCCAGGAAGGCAATGAAGGTTTGTCGGTTCGAGGGCGCTGGCAACTCCCCATTGCGCGCCACCATGCGAACCGGCGCCCACCTGAGATGTGCCCAGGGAAAGGGCTTGAAATGCAGTGGTTGAACTGGGCTACGCTCGTTTTGACGTGTGATTGGTTCCTGTCGGGTATGTGTGCTCAGTTGTAGGGTCTTTTGCAATTAGCAGTGGCAGATCGCAGGCTTTCAGATCTCGATAGCTGATACTGCATGTGCTATCCCCAGTCGTGGCCATTCCGCAGCTCAAATCACCCTCAAGTCACACGTCTTTTTTGGGGGTGAATCGGCCTGCCCAAACAAGTTCCGTGCGAAGTCACCGCAGAGTCGTCACCGCAGAAGTCATCACTCTGAGTTCTGTGCGGATGAATGATCAAAGCCAGAAACCAGTGTTCCTGTACTGAATCATGGGCCGGAACCTTGGAAATCGACCGGTCGGGCTCGAACTTGCCAGGATTTCAATGCCAGGAAAAATGCTGCCCCCACACGGCCCGGCCGGGACAACATTGTGCAAGACAACATACATTGAACATCCTTGAACACAGGAATACAAATGACCGGTACTTTAGACGCTCACAATGGATGGTTTACTCAGTTTACTGTTTGAAATCACCAAAGATCATCAAAGATCAAAGAATCTAAGGTCCCAAGGTCCAAATATTTTGCCCACCATTGACCCATGGGTATCTCATCACCCCCAAACATCTCTCTTTTCAAGCCATCCAGGATCAGACCAGGTCTCCGACAAAGATCACGTCTTTGGAAAAAATGCCACTCCTGTCTTTCTGCCTCAGCCACCCATCAACGTTCCCTGCCTGGATCGGACAAGTTACCATCGCACCCAACTGGTTCAATGGTCCCAACTGAAAAAGAGGACGCATCAGCAAAATCCCAGAGAGGTGTATATGGGGGATATGGCTTCGTCTGAAAACAGTATAGCCATAAATCCATTGCTTAGTCATCATGTTCCCAATTAATAAAGCCATTTGGGGTATATCCCATGCTCAGACAAACCCATATCCATTATTATCACTATTCATTGGTTAAATATGATTAAACCACCATCAAACCACCATTTTCCATCATTTTCCATCATGTTCCATCATTTTCCATGGTTTAAACCACCATGTTTCCATGTTTTTTTCTCCACCACCACCTATCCACCAAACCCTAAGCCGAAAACGCAAACTCCTGGCACCAAGACACCGAAGGCTTCGAGTCCAGGTGCTCACCTGGTGGAGCACCAAAAGGGGATTTCACGAGGAAAGAAATCTGACAATGTGAAAAATATGATAGATATGGAAACATTATGTATATATATATGATAAATATCATCTATTTGACAATGTGACAATCTATCATCATATAATACATAATATATGTATAGATAGATACAAATCTAAATATCATTGAAGATATATAATTATATATAGATCATATGATATCTATATCATATGCCATATTTCACCATGTTCCATGGATTCGACTCTACGTCTTCCAAGCTTCAGTTCGACGCCCACGCCCACCGCCTGTTTGCATCCGCCCTCCATCAGCCGTGTGTAGAACAAGGAGCTGAAGGCGTGCACCCGATCTGTCAGCGTCAGTTGGAGGTACCCCCAAATCATCCCAATCATGGATCCATGGATGATCATTTTAGTACTGAAAATTACTGAAAGCCATAGTTTTGGGGATCCCCCCATTTTAGGAAACCCATTTTAAGACATTGGATGACCATGCCGCAAAAAACAACTTGAGCAAGTGGTTACCAGATCTTGCCAAATGTTGCCAATCATCTTCATACCACAGCCACGCGGTGGTAACCCGGGTTTGAAGACTTACCGACCAGTGACTGGTACCAATGTCATGGGAGCATTGCTGGTATGATTGGTATTGGTTTCCCGGAGTATGGGTCAATTGGTCAATTCAAATTGCGGAGGACTCTCACGACAACTCATAAGCTTTGTCTGACAAACTGGCTACTGTACCTCCAAATCCACTAATTAATCCTCACTTTCCGATACTTTCTCTAGTCAAATTTGGGGGTAATGATACCCCATGTTCAGGTCCCCACCCATACATGTTATCAAAAACCTCCGCGAGAGTTAGCTGGACCCGCACCAAATCCCATGATCCAGTGCTGCCAAAGGGCTTGCCACACTCGACAGCACTGCCAACCGGTCCAGATGGAAGTCCTGCAAAACAACATGGAAATTCATGGCCTTTCCGGAAAATCATCTAGAAGCGGCGGGCTTTCCATGTCGATGTTGCTTTACTGCTGGCTGGAGGGGCTCTTCCTGGGAAAAACCAGCGGGATGAAGTGGTTGTGAATAAACATGATGTCAATAATTAAAAAGTACCATGGTCCATGGTACTTTTTGTTGATGACCATGGTCATTGGCATTCAACTATCCAATTCTTGAAGTGTCAAATAGAAAGTAACATGTTTGGTCATTGTGAGCGTCGAGCCATCCAATCACAACACACCAACCATAAACAGTGTGTCCAAAATGTATAAACATTCAAATGTTTTTGCCATTTAAAATATTTAAATGGATAAAGTACGATTTCTTATGATCAACCCTCAGATTTTCACATTCGAAAATCCGCAGAATTTCCATGGCACGCCCTGTTTTTTGTTTGCTTCGCCAGCCCAGCATTTTTCGGCTCCAGAAGGGCATCGTTCAGTTTGCCCTCGTCATCTTTCAGGCGCGCCCAATCGGTTTCACTCGGCACCGGCGCCAAGCGTTTCCTGGAACGGGAGACTTTCTAAGATCCCTTGGCCAATCTTAGCTGGTTGGTGGTTGACCTACCCCTCTGAAAAATATTAGTCAGTTGGGATTACAGTATCATTCCCAATAAATTATGGAAAACAACAAATGTTCCGAACCACCAACCAGTTAGAAATTCACATGGCCAATGTGCCTCCTGTGTCCATGTCTGGAAAAAACGAAAAGAAACCAGAAAGCAAAACATCAAACTGCTCTGCAATCTTGTAGAATTTTCAAAACAAAGACCATCATTGATTTCATTCGTCAGATCATTAAATCACCATGAAAACATCACCATGAAAACATGAGTCAGATCAATTACTGTTGCTGCTATTATTTCATATTTTTCTTGAACTCATGATCACCAAAAAATCACCATGAACAGTGCACCATTATTCATCCATCAAACCATTAACTCACCATTCACCAAAAGTCACCAGAAGGCACCATGACAACATGTAAGTCAGAATCATCTAAAACTGTTTAATATAACGTTTCACCATGGTAAGACAGTTTCAACATGGTAATTTCAACATGGTAATATAAGAATTACATTATCCTTGAAAACATATGGGAAACATGGTTATTTCATATGTAAAATATATGGAACATAGATATTTCAACATACACCCTCTGACATGACCATAGAAATAGTGGATTTAGCCATTTTCATAGCATGGTGGATCTTTCCATAGTTATGTAAACTTTTACCAGAGAGTAACAACTTTGCATTGCATAAATTAGGAGTTGATCCCCCATTTTCAGACACAGTAGGCTCAGTAGGTCCAACCTGCAAAATTCCAGTAGCAATTCACATGACCCCAACACATTAGTTATACAGTAAATCCCTAGATATTGATAATTCCTTTTATAGTTAAACCTAAATCTATTATATATATATATTTATCAACATCCTTCACCAGGACGACATCACCATGACCCGCTCCTGCCAGCCGCCTTCGCGGCGGAGCCGCCGCTGCGTTCCACCTATGCTAGGCGACCACTGATGGGATGATTTGATCATGACATGGTCATATCAAAATGATCTTGTATACTATATATATATGTCTGGGCAAATTCTGATATTTCACTAACCTGAATTAAGGCCATATGGGGATGATTTCCCTTATTGACCATGATTCCAGTGAGGTCGCAGTGAGGTCGTTATAATTTACCCAGATATATGTATATGTAACCACAATTTAATACTAATGATAATAATGAAGATAATAATATTAATGATAATAATGATGATAGTAATATTAATGGGTATAATGATGATAATAATAATGATAATAATGATGATACTAATATTAATGATAATAATGATGATAATAATGGATCATAATGGTATATACTATATGTATGGTATGTTGTAGAATAATTTTGAATTTATACGTGACATATAATGAAATGTTGCTTTCGCTGAAATGGGAAGAACATGGTATAAGTATGAACAAAAATAGATAGACATTGGGTAAAAGAAATTATGATCATGTATTGGGTATCATACACCACATTTTCCCAATGACTCCTGGAATCATCAATTTATGAATCCCTCGGGAATGTATGAATCCATTAAACGCGAATGCTGAGGGACAATCATTCGGTATATCTTGGAACAGCTATAATCATCTAAAATCTTCAGAATAGTGGTAATGAGAATAGTACTAACAATATGTATATATATAATATAATATGATATAATATAATAGAATGTAATGTAATGTAACATATAACATATAACATATAATGTATTATATATAATATATAATATTTAATATATAATATATAATCTATAATATGTAATATATAATATAATATATATATATAATATAATATAATGTAATATATATATATATAACAATAAATAATAATATTATATAATATAGAATAATATAGAATTATATAATATAATATAATATAATTTAATATAATTTAATATAATATAATTAATAAACATAATATAATATAATATAATATAATATAATATGTTATGTATATATATATAGCCTCCCGCACATAATCAAACGTCTCAAACAGCCCCATCTCTGGAATCCTCAGTTTTTGGAGTTGCATATCTATGCAGTCTTCACCATCATCATCATCATCATCATCACCAACCATCATCACTATTTACATCTATTCACACCTATTTACACTAGGGTTACTATTTACCATCATCATTATTTACATCACTATTTACATCAACTATCACCAACCATCATCACTAGTTACATCTGCAGGTTATTACACCAACCAGCATCACTATTTCCAAGCATCATCACCAACCATCATCACTAGTTACATCTGCAGGTTTTTACACCAACCATCATCACTATTCCCAAGCATCACCAACCATCATCATTACACTAGGGGTATTTGCCATCATTTGCAGGTTACCCTCCGGTAAATTAACATAGACCCTGGCAGTCATCGGGGTTGGAAGATTAGTCTCCATTAAAAATGGCTTATTTTCAGGGTCTATGTTAATTTAATGGTATTTGCAGGTTATATGGTGGTTTAATGGGATTAACCATCAACTTAATGGTGGATTAATCCCAATCAATCCCAATTAATCCCATTAAATCACCGTTATTTTGTAGCTTACTTCTTCTACGAGCTCCGAATCGACGAACGTCGAGCGGCAAAGAGACGCCGCGCGGTTTCGTGGCCGAATCTCCTGCCAGCCCAGAAGCTCCACCCAGTTTTCACTGAAATGGGGATATCTTGGCCAATATATGGGAAAAAACCTGAGGATATCATGTTTATATATACATATGTCATATACAAATATATATATGCATATCATATTATATATATATTATATTATATATATATATATTGGAGTAAGCCTGGGAGTATAAACACTCACCAGAAACAAGATGAAAATCGTGGTTTCGGCCCTGGCCAAGCAGCCGGCCGAACCCCCGGCAAACTAGGCGGCAACATGCCGGTCAAATTAGCAAAAATCCGAGGCAAAAAAGAGCAGCAAACCGAGTAGAAATGTTGCCTCAAAAGGCACAACCTGGCACCAACATAAATTATTTATCATTATTTGCTTCCAAGTTGGGATGCGTCTGGCATTACTTCAATAGTTCACTGCCGGACACCAGGTGCATACCGAGTTTTCATTATCGCTTTTAGCGCCTGCCAAGCTGACGGTTAAAGGTCTCCAGCGTCCAGCGCCGCGCATTGGACTGGACAAGTTGGTTGCGCGGGCCTTGATTTCACAGCAAAGCTGCTCAAGCAGCCGCCACCCCTGAGGCAAGCAGTGCTGAGCTGACAATTCAGCTGAAAACTGTTTTGGAAAAAGAACGCCTAAATTGTGCCTAGTTGTGACAGGTCTTGCGTTGGAGACGGCGGGGGCTTGGCAGAAACTTGGGAAAAAGAACTTGAAACATCTTGAAACTTGATGCAAACCCAACGGCTTCGCGCTAACCTTGCAGAAGCCCGAGGCTGGCGGAAACCCGCCCGGAACCTACCAAAACCCGGCGAAGCCGGGCGGAACCCAGCGGAACCCAGCGGAACCTGGCGGAACCTGGCGGAACCTGGCGGAAACCTGGCGGAAACCTGGCGGAACCCGGCGGAAAAAAAGTAAGTTAAAGGGGGGGTGGTTGGGAGTATAACTTTTGGCATGGCTTATACTCCCAACCACCCCCCCCTTCAACTTACTTTTTTTTCCGCCAGGTTTCCGCCAGGTTCCGCCGGGTTCCGCCGGGTTCCGCCGGGTTCCGCCGGGTTCCGCCGGGTTCCGCCGGGTTCCGCCGGGTTTCGCCGGGTTCCGCCGGGTTCCGCCGGGTTCCGCTGGGTTCCGCCGCTCCGCTGGGTTCTGCTAGGTTCCGCTGGGCTCCAGGCTTTCGCCAGGTCAGTTCCGCCGGCTTGTGCCGGGTTCTGCCGTTTCCGCCAACAAGGTTCCTGCTACCGACTCCCCCTTCAATTCATTGCTAGGATTGTGCCAGATTCTTGCCAGGCGTCTGTCAAGTTTGCAGCAATCAAAGAAGCGTTTTTGCAAGTGCCCGGACATTGTCCAAGTCGGCTTATGGAAAAAATCACCAATAAGATAGCTTTCCTGGTGGAGTAGCAGATCTTGTTTGCTGTGACCCCATGAAGAGGGGGATGCAATAGTGATTTTCGATTTTCATTGTTCAGCTTTTCCACATTGAAACGTGCCAACATGTACCAAATTTCATTGACTTTTGCGTTGAACACATTTGCCATTGAACATGACCGTAAATTTGGCTTGGCCAGAGCTAGCTCGCGCGCTTTGCCGGGCCTCTTGCCGGCACATTTGCCCCTAATTTTGCTTGTCCATCAATGGTTCGGATGGTCTGCCATACGACTTGCCGGCACAAATGCCATGGTTTTTCGTTCCCACAGAGTTAACCACAGGTTCTGCCGCTAAGTTTGCCGGCCACAAAACCAAAGAAATCGGGTTTCTTGAGTTGCGCCAGCCCTTCTGCCGGTGGTTTTACCGTCCCTTTAGCCACAGTTTTGGGTCAGTTTGGCCCAAAAAGTAATTATGAGTGTTTATACTACCTCGCTACTTTCAATATATATATATATCTGATAATCAAGATCTTGGGAGACAGCGGGATGAATGGATGCAATAATGATGGATTTTTTATGGTCACCAGGTGGATCATCTGACTGGTTTTTTTTCGTGCAGGTCGTAGATTTGATCCATGTACTTAAAAATTGGAATCGCCAAATCCCGGTCTCAAACCAATACGTATCTGACTGCCCAGCCTTGATGAAGACTATCCAAACTTTGACCAAGTTCTACTATTTGACATCAAGCAGAATAGAAGAAGCTACAAACAGTTGAATTTCCCAACATCATCCAACCTCATCTTTGGATTCTTTGGGTACCTCACTTCTTGCACTATTTTTTGGGGGATTCCCAGAAATCGATGCGCATCAAAGCACATTCCCAGCTGGCTCTTTTGAAGGGATTGCTTCCGAAGAGCCTGCAACCTGGGCTGACACTGCCAAACACTGCTGGGGCAGCCGGTCGTCCAAACACCGAAGACAGGTTGTGTTTCCAGCCCCCTCACTAACCCTGGTGGCGACCACAAAATCCGCCCAAAAAACATCGGCTTGCGGCGGAACCGCGGTCCGAAAATCCCTCACCATCTGAGTGACTTTGTGGGGGTCCCCGGTTTTAGCACAGCCCCAACTGTTGAGACCCTTCAGACTCAGACTTTTTGAGCCGATTGGCAGCTGGCCTGCTAGAGCATGTCATCATGATCTATGAAGGTAGGAGAATCACAACTTCACAACCTCTCAACAGCTATGGGAATTCTATGGGAATTCTCATCCACTATAGTCTTGAGTCTTGAGATGTCTTGTCTATTGTTGTTGGCCATTTACTTCAAACAGCTGTTCAAAGCATTGACCCCCCTTCAGCTCTCGCTGGGGGTAAGCATCCCCTGGCCTGCTCTTCTCATGAACGCCTCCCACCATTGACCTTGCCACGGTCAAAAAGGGGGACTGCTGGCAGATTTGGTGGTCCCCAAAGGACCCAAAGATTGTCTCAGAACAGGTTCTAATTTGATCATCCGAACGCATCTAGTTGGATGTCCGACATTATCTTCGAAGTCGAAAGGCCGGTAGAACACACTGGACATCCTGGCTGCTTTGCAGCTCGAAAAAGATCCGGTGATTGGTCAAACTGAGATTACCAGCAATATATATACCCCAAATCCCAAACATGTTTTTAAACATTGGATCGGTTTTATCAATAGAAATGACCCAAACATGTGGGCCTCAGGTTTTTCAACTTCAACTCCTACACATCTGACGTCAACCCCCGCCTACGAAGGGGAACCGCAGGGCCCAAGATGTGAAATCCGCCAGGGATCAGTCGAACGACACCCCAATTTGATCCCAGAGGTGCTACGGGAACATCCAGCAGCTAAATTTCTGGGCCATCAACATGTCACATTGCTGTGTGAATTTCTGCCAATGCTTATAGAAATATTCACAGAAAATTAGGGAATATTCACTGATCGAATTCTTATTTAAAAAGAAAAAACGTTTAAAAAAAAACATATTGAATCTGTCGATTTATTCACACCATTCCCGCACCCTCCAGTTCCGTTTCTGTCTGTTCAACCCAGCAGTTGGCTTCAGAGCCGACGGCTGTGCGCCTGGCAGCGAAACCTGAGAAGCAAAAGTTTCGTCCAGCGCCGTGGCAGGCGGATCTTTGGCATGCCACTCGCTTCGGTGGAGCCACAATGTAGCCAGGCTTCTGCAATGATTCACGTAGCGTTTTTGAAATCAGATCAACTCACTGGAAAGTTCAATTTCTGCATCCCAAATAAGAATCAAATGACTAGAGTCATGAAGGTTTTTTATGTTTTATTCTTGTGATCAGAATTCTGCGCGTTTCCCAATCCTCGCCGGTTTGCAGACGTCATCACAGGATCTCCGACGACTCCGAGGAACGAGATGAACCTCGAGGACGATCCGCAACGGGATCAACGGATAAATAAACCATGATAAGCCCCATGGGTTTATGATGGTTTAATTTATGATCATGAAAAGAATATAAAGTAAACTACCCATCTTAAAAAAAAAAGATTGGAGATGTTTTGATGGATGATACAAGTGATGAAGCCACGGGTAGCCTATTTTCAGACAAACCCATGCATGTTCTAATCCGCCTATAAGATTCTAGAATTTAAGTATACTGACCCCACTTGAAGAATATTGGGAAAAATGGTTTCAACTTTGTCATGGGCGTACCACAAAAACAGAGATTCTTTGGGACAACTATGCAGTCGTCTCCGGGGATATTGCATGTAGACATGACCTCAGGGTGTAGACATGCTTGGTACACCAGGGCCATACAGCGAGAAATCAGGCGCTTCACCATTTCAGACAACTTCCAGGCGAATTCTCAACCAATCCCAGAATGGGATGTTCAGGGAAAGTTTACCCTCTGGTAAAAAGGTACTAGGTTAATTATCTGGGAGAAAAATTAAAAATCAGTCATCCAGGACGGTTTCCATCTGAGCTGCTACCATCCGACTCGCTGGAAAAGCCTTCACAGTCGCAAGAAATCTTGCGAGTCCTGGCGTTGCCAGCTTGACCTATTCGGATTGAGAGTACCAAAAATCCCATGGGATTCTGTGGTCATATGTCGATAGTCATCTGGATCCATATATATAGTATAAGGTATATATGGTATATCCATATGGATATTTTTTGGCAGACTGCACATGGGAACGCTCTCTCGTTGCGGCAGCACGCATGCAAATTCTGGTCTTTGCCTGTGCATCTAGCCTCCAACATAATCTGCACCAATTCGCGTGCCCATGGCGGAGCAAGTCATCTGCTTGCAACGCTCCACAAAATCTGTTGGAAGGCTAGACGCCTTCATCACCTCTTCGGATGATGGAAAATGTGAGAAAAATCCTTCAGCCAAAGATTTACATAAGGCTGGAGGATACTCTTTAAGTTTCGCTGTGCGAAACTGTCCTTGCTCGTCGATGCCAATGGTGTGAGCTCGTGGAACATGGGCACAGACTGCATTGGCACGGAGAAACTTTGGCAGGTCAGGAAGGTTTAAAGACAGCAAGCCAGTGCGCTTGGCGCTATCTGCTCCCAGTAATCCCTGCGCAAATTCGTAATGTCGAAAGCCTGGCAATGTGGTGATCATCTGGACTATCGGCAATCGCCAGATGCTGGCTGCTTGGTCGTCAGCTGGTTCAGCCGGATGTTCCAAGGCTCCGCAGCTCTTGACCGTAGACAAAACCACCATGGCCTTCAGGCTAAAGCCAAGGAGGAGATGGCCGTCGAGGAGCTGCCGTTTCTCCTTGAGCGAGACCGAATGAAAGCCCCACAGCGCTGATGCAGTGCGAAGAACTCGAGGTCCTCGTCTGCGCGAGCCTGCCACATGCTTCCCGCGCGCCACCGACCACGTGCAACATGGGGGCCCGCTGAGG